AATACATAAATTATTATAGTAAAGTTTTCTAAATCATGGTAACTTATTCTCCACTAAATTTTACTATTCCCAGCATTAAAATAAAGTAGTAAGATCCATTATGGGTAAACTTTAAGGTACACAATCCTTGATTGAAATGTAGTAGGTATACATTAAGAGTCATAATACCTAGAAATTATTATGTAGTAGACTTTGACTATTTTTAAGTAACAAACATATGTTTCTGTAAATAAAAATTATCTCCCATGTTATCCTTATGGAGAAATACGAAACTTTAAAGGGCTCCAGGGCCTCAATCTCTCATTATTTCCCTAAAATGAAAGTTTCCTGCACAACTTCACGTTACCCTCTTTCCAATGACACCAAAAACATGTCAATCGGTTCAGTAGTTTCGGAGGAGTAATTGTCACAAAAAACCTGCTTGCGTATTAAATAAGTATAATAGATGTAATATTGGTACTGTAATATACAGTGGTTTTTGTTCAGCAACAAAAAACAAGTAGGCCTACTGTGAGGCACTGTATGACGATGAAACAAGCTTACAAGGTTTGTTTATCCAGTTTAATTTTCTTCATTGCCGATCAGCTGATATGCATTGTTGCATAAATATCCATGAGGCTTATTGTTGTTGGGAGGGGAATTTATTTTAAAGACGGCTCAACATGGCATTTTTTAGGCCTATGTGCTGAAATCACACCTGGAAACTTAAGATCAAACCTTTTTTGGTTAAAAATAATAATAATACAAAAATAGAGTATTTTAATTTAACATTAAGTTTTTAAATAAAGGGACCAACGGTAATAGATAATTCGTCGTCGTCGTCGTCAGATCTTCATAATTTAGAGTTTATATTATTTATTATAAATTATAGTCATTTAGACTTTAAGCATTGCTTGGAAAAAATAAGTATTAACTGCTCACTACGCTAACTCGGTGTCTGTAATATAGTTAAAGCAAACAGGGAAAGTTCATTTTGTAGGGCTGCAGATAAGGATTTATTTAGTAGGCACCTTGTTTTGTCCAGCCTTGTTTTGGAAACCTGTTATTAGTTTTAGTGACGTCAATAGTTAGTTGCTTAGATACATTTGATAAAATACACCATGCATGTTATGATAGCTCTTGCTATTAAATAATACACCAGTAAGGATAGCAAAAAAGCAAATAGATAAGAATTAAATGGTTTGCAAATAGTTTGTTTGATTAACCGTAAAGATAGTCTGCATTAACAATACTCAAAATTAAAGCACTGGTCAGTTAAAGTTAAAATATAACGCTATATAATGTCAACGAAATATGTATACGAATGAAATATGAATATGTAACAAAATGTATCAAACAAGCTAATTGAATTACTATTCAAATCTTACTCAGAGTCACATCACTCTTGAGTCCCATCAGAGATCTTATGGTGACTCAAGAGAGTATTGAGGGGAAAAGTATCTAAAAAAGCAAAAGGTCTTTTAACAACATAAACGTATACAAGGTGCTGTCCCAGCGTAAAAGAAATTAGGTTGATATTGCAAAAGCGTTTACCAAATATTTTTGTAAATTTGTCCCTCAGTTAAAGCAATACTTTGTGGATGATATTTTTATGGAAGATGTAAGTGAGAATAAGTGAGGTGTAGTTTGTTTTACTTTTAGATATGAGGAGGCGGTTGTTACTATTAAAATACCTACTTTGTATGGTCGCCATTTAATTGAACAGTGTTAAAAAAATATTTACAGTATTAAACGTATGAAAAAAAGTTTAGTGTAGGTATTGATGGAATAAGTATTTTTGTAACTAAGGAAAACTTGGATTTGCCACTCTCCTGTTTCATTTACACATGGTTTTTTCCTGATAGGCTTAAAGTAGCCACTGTTGTCCCCATTTACAGGTCAGGTGATCCCTCTGAAGTCGTTTTATACTGTTCAATCACAGAAAATAGAATAAACCTTTGAATCCCTCATTAAATAAAAAATATTTGAATATTTGATTAATAGGGGTAGAAAAACAAAAATGTGTGGTTAAATTTTAAATCACCAAACGTCAGCCGTGTTATTATTGACAGGACCTTGTCTCTGTGACAGTATTTGAATTTGTTGTAAGGTAATGGCGTATTTCCTCCCCAGTAAAAACGGTAACATTTGCAATTATTGGAGGAAATTGAATTAAAATAGTGATTGCAAAATTTACTGTTAACAGTAATGTATTTAACGATATTCAACACATTTAGCAATAGTATTAAAATGGGCTATTACTGCACAACGAATATTAACAGTTCCACGACAAAATACAGAACTCGTGAAACAATTATTACATTTTGAGTCTTTCTCAGAATAGTAGTAAAACAACTTTAACCTCTTTCTAGAGAATTTCTGCTGAGCCTCAAAATGTAAAGATGAATTTAATAAAAGTACATTTTTTATCTAACTTTAGCGAATTTCCCATATAGGGAATAAGCTATTACCGTAGTACTCATGGTAAGACCTGGACCCGGGACCGATTTACTTTTTCGTTTTGAGGTTCCTAGAGACCAAAAACACCATCCATTTAAATTCATATATATATATATTTATATATATATATATATATATATATATATATATATTTATATATGTGTCCGTTAGCGCGATAACTCGAACAAAAATGATCCGATTTTGATGAAATTTGGTACAAACGTGTAATCCTACGTTTATTCGAACGAGTTCGCGATCCAGCATAATCGGACCATGGGAACGGGGGTTTATGGGGGGTTTTATGGGGTAAAAATGGGTTTTTCCCATTTTTGACCCTAAAAACAAAACATTTTACAATTTCTTCCTAAACCGTTTTGTAGAGCTTAAAAAAGAAATAATTTAGTATATTGAAGCGCTGTTGTACGCCTAATGGTCACGGAGAAAATTCAAAAATAGTGTAATTTAAAATTCCCATGTTATTCTTATGGAGAAAATGAAAATCGTTGTAGTTTACTTGTTTATGGATATATATTGATAAAATTTGGCAAATTTATTTATTTCATCCTATACTATTGACGTATAGTCAAACAACACTTTTTACCTTCCCCGTAGCAGCAAACCTAAGCACTCGTTAAATATAATGTTATTTAAATAGGGAATAAATATGTCTTATTTATGGAAATATTTTAGTAAAAATGTAATCAGACAAGTTGAAATTCGCTTAGTCTGCAGGTTTGCTGCGGCGGGGGTATTATACTCTTGTGATCGGTTGACACAAGTTTCATATTCTTTTGGTCGATTTAAAGATTTAAAATATAAATACATCAAATGTATTGCATACTAAACCGCTCATTTGTACATGACTGACATTTATTATACTTATTATAAGTTAATAATAATGTAGCCTATAATAAATCAAATCACACAAAAATATTTTTTATTAATGTATACTATAATAACAATAAAATATTTTCATTTTTCGATTAAATATATTTTAAAACCATGTATATACTGTTTTATAGAATATAATAAGCTGTTAGGCCTAGTTTTATATTAGATAACATTTAAATTTTGAATATATACGCCAACTAAAAAGCTGTACAAAAACTAAAAATTGTAAAAATCCAAGTTGAACTGGCGTAACCCTTTAGTAAATACAGAAGTATTTTTTTTAAATTATTAAATTATAATAAGTAAAATAAAGAAGCATCTATTAGACAGTACAGATCTAAGAATAAATATAGTGGTAAAAGCAGTTATTCTATAAAGATAAATGATTCAAAATCCCTAAATTTTTACATTTGTTTATAAATAACCAACTACACTGGCGAATTGGGCTGTAACATAGGCTATGTATCTCAACCAGGGCTGGTTTCAAACGTTAATTAAATCCATCGCTTTTCCTGTGTCGAAGTAGCAATGCTTTTCTGTTTTTTAAATGTCAGTCATATAAACTCCAATCGTAAAAATACATGAACCATTTTATTTAAGTTTTAAATTCACAGCTGTAGAAAAAATATAATTTATTTGTACTTCTAATATGCACTTTACACAAGAAAAATGTTTGTTTACATCATGTAATTTTTTAATGTTTATCGTACAGTTAAATTTTATCGTAAAATTTAAATGTAATTGTATAAGAAACCTTTGTCGCTTGGGAAAGGGCAATTCCTAAATGACTCATAATCTTTCCTCAGTATGCATTTGAAGTTGCTGAGGTAATAAGTTTCTATCAAATCCACTTGTTCACAATGTACTCAGATAAACATAAAATATTAGAGAATTTCCCTAAGTGAAATAGGCTATTTATTTTTATACTGAGAATGAAGTTCTTTTAATTAAAAAATATGTTATGCATACTAGGGCATAACCGCCTATTTTGTCCTACTCCAAGCATTGCAGTTGAGTATGAAATAATTTAATGCTAAAATACAGATGCAGTATTTAGCGACTCCACGCTCACAGGTCAGTTTATCAATTTCCTACCACTGATAACCAAGTTAAAATACCACAATAAACACTTACACGAGTAGATAATCATAACTACTATTGATTCAAACCGCATGGTTTTGTACAGAACGAATGTGTGAAGTTTTATTTCACCCACTGTTCAAAAGAGTTGGCTTAATCTCCCAGTTAGGAATGTATTAGCTTTATAATATTAGGTATGATAAAATATTCCACACATAATACCATAACAACGGTCATATAAAGGTGAACGTTTATAAGTAAATATGTATGTAATCATTTAAATAATACGCTACAGTATTACTATACATGAACGGTTGCATTTTCTTAGTTTCACTTTTAAAATAGCCTATAAAACAATTAATTACAACTTGCATATTTTCCTGTTACCATCTGGTAAAAATATGTCTGTGGCAGGAAAGCTGTTGCCAAGTGACGGCAGAGTACATATTTTTAGCACCAGGTTATCGGGTTAGGCCCGGTCTGGCGTTGGTTGCTAAGCGACAATACCACAAACCTTTCTCCCCCTACCTACCAACCAACCCTCCCCCACCGACCTGTTGATATCATCACTATCAGTACAGAACAGTCGTGCCCGCGACACTGTCCGACACGGTTCTCCGTCATTGGTAAGTATACAACTTCCAAAACAAAATAACTGAATTGAAATATGTTAAAAGAAAACAAATGCCCTAATCTTCACGAAAAAAACTTAAAGAAAATATAATGGTCTTAAAAACAGAGTGTTCAAAAGGTTTAAAGACCTATGTTTGGATTTAAAAGTATATATATTTTTTATATTCATGATTTTACACTAAGTAAAATATGGAAAGCTCAATAAATTGCCTCTAGTATCTTATAAGTGTACTTAAAAATCTTTCACAAAATAACAGTATAAATCCTATACTTGCGGTATAGACATCTAATCACCGCTTCACTTTGAAGACAAACTTGTTTGGACGACCCTTATAGAATTTTTAGTAGAAGAGAAATATTTTAAGAGGAGGTATTTTAATATGATCAACCCTGTTTCAACTGTACGCCTTGCATAGTAAAGATAGATGTTACATCTACCACACTATTAGGAACAACCGTGACAAGGGACAAGGTTCCTATATGTACCTAATAAGAATGAGCATCAAGACCTTATAGACACACCGTTTGAAAGTGTATTTGCTTTGCAAAAAATATTTGATTGTATCCAAAAATATTTACTTCCCTACAATTGTTCACTAAACTCAAATTGGTAATCAAGTAAAATACTTTTGCAGTACTCTGTATTTGAGCATTTTATATCCAACACCAGGCTTAAACCTTGACACGTTAACATTTGGACCACTTCTCACAGAAACCAAGAGTGGTAGATATTGAAAAGAAAATTTTTGAAATGGACAGTGGAGCTTGATTTCAAAACGTTAGGTGGTTAGACAGACAGTACTAAAATTCAAGAAAACTCGCCAATATCACAATTTATATTGTAATTTGTCGTTGTAAGTGCTGCGGGGTATGGTTGGGTGGGACTTATTTTATCTTCCTGGGTTCTAATAACGCTGGGGCTTCAACAAGCCTTCAGTGGGCGTAAACGAAATACATCTCCTGCCCTACAAATATGACTATTCTTATTGTTACATGTTATTTTTATTTTAATGTTAAGTGTTATATTATTGATTTTAGATTCACGTATATATGATAAGATAGATTAAATAACTGAACGAGTTTTAGTTGCATTTTCCACTTGTCAAATAAAAAAAAAAACAATTGAATTATTTTATATGACATGGACAAGCTACAAAATAATTTAAATAAATATGAAATTTAATTATGTACACTCAGATAACACAATTTATAACTAAAATTGCAAACGTGTTTTTGCAATAAATATTAGTTTTGGAATAAATATTTTAAATCTAGACTATATAGTTAGTTATCATATTTTCTAGCCTTAAACCTAGATAAAACAAATGATAAATACTGTACTTGGCAAAATGAAATGGTTAAAAATCAATATAAACAAATCTTTTAGAAAAACGTTCCACATTAATGGTGGATTTTGTATGTTTAGTTCTTTGTCCATTCTACAATTAATTTACAAAGCAATATTCTAAAAGCGACGCAGCAGTTGATTACCAGTAATGGCGGACAGCGTTGCGCTTGAAGCTATTATTATTACTGTAGTCCAACGAGTAACTGGAAAAATGATTGTAGCCAATTATGCATGTGTAGTAGAATATTTAAATTACAAAGAAAAATTTAAAACAAATTAGTGTTATCATAGATGTCTTCGCTAAACGTTAAATTATAAAGAAGCATCCAATGTTCATTAACAGTGTTGACAAAACTAACTGAAGTTGTAATTCGAAAAACTAATTAGAGGAATAAACTAGTAACTAGCCATTCATGTTAATGTAAAAATTCAATATTTTCACTAATATTTTTTTTTAATACAATAATTTAATTTCCACCATATGTTTTTCATTTTATCTAAATGTCAATCCCTTTTCAAACCATATATAGTAATTAATTGTCCATGCAGACCAATAGGTAATCAATTTAATACAATATAATATAGACATTTTCAAATAACATAATTTCATGTAAATATATAATAGCCTATAACTTTTGTAACAAAATTGCTTCAAATTCAATATAATTTTATTTAAATAACTTTTCAAAATTATTATATAGCTCTATAGCAAATGAAATTTGTTATAATATATATGTGTAAACGGTGGCCTACAATTTTATGTGATTAAGTCAGCATTGACATATGTGAGTGCAACAATGCATCAGACCTTCATCACTTCCAATAGAGCCAAGATAGTATGAAGATGTAAATTGGACACTACATATTTAATATCAAAATTTTATAAAAAAAGTACATTATTCGGACAAAATTAGTGGAATTTGTTGAAAGAAGACCCATCCTTGTTACGAACATTAATAATTTATAACATCAAGAATTTTGCTGCAAAGAAGACATCAATTTTGGTGAGATCACTCCAATAGACATTTTTCCCTTTGGAAGCAATTAAAACTTTTTTTAGGTCTAACCTTTGGACATTTGTACTCAAATTCAAAGTCAAGAACTAATAGAAGCTTAACTTATTCAGAACTATTATTAAATCAACCAATCTATAATTCGAACATACTTTATATTTTAAAACAAAATTTAATTAGGCTTATATAACAAGATTAAATTCAAATGCCGCTCGATCACCCCACCTAAGATAAAGATCCTTGCAGTAAGTTATAACACTTGAACCTAAATTAAAACCATTGTAATAGGCCTAGCCTAAAGATTTTAAAGTAAATTCATTTCCCACTGTTTGTACAATTTATTGTGAACCCTTTTCTTTTCTTTTACTATCAGTTTTGTATTATAATTAATAAATTTAAGTTTCGATACTGTACATGGAGTTTCCATTGTAGACCTAAGTTAAAGGATGATTACATTAATTAAAGTTAAATGTATTATTCAGATCAACCAATTAAAACAAGACACATTGAATGAGCGGAATTTCAAGCAATAGGCCTAACGTAATGGGTAAAGTAATTCTTAAATGAGATTTTAATAAAAAATTACATATGGTTACCATGGGAACGATTATTCGAGAGATATACTCATTGCGGTGTAAATGGAAGTGTCTTCAGAAATTATTTTGTAGTACATGAGTAATCGTTTGATATTTAACCTAAGGTTGTTATTGTTTGCCTTAAGTGCTATAAAACAGTTATGGAGTCACAAGCATGAAATCTGATGTTACAAGCTAAATTCATCACCACCAATATCTCGATTTATGATTATAGCGCCCATAAATAAGCTTTTAATGAAGCACGGTCTATATGGTTAAATATGTTCAATATTTATGTTTGGTGTGGACTGGCAATCAGATGCGTTTATCTGATTTAAAAAAAGTTGCAATAGGAAGGGTAAACGAAACCTTGTGGACTGTTTACTATTAGAATCAAATGGATTATTAAATTACTTACGTACTAGCTTATAGTTAGTATGAATTGATGAATAGTAAAATTAATCAATGGTATACTTACATGATTAGTTTATTATGCTGTGACTTGTAACAGCAAAATTAATAGTAAAAGACATCCTATTATGTTCGAAAACATTATTGATACTTGAAACATTTGATAATTGTTTTAAAGCTGGGAATGAAGTATAAAAGACGTGATCAAAGTTATTTTAAAGTGAGGCTGTGCACTCACATTGTCAACATGCTTGGCAGGTTAACATAAAATTACTTTAAAAAATCACAATGAAATTTTATTAACATTTTTTACGGAAAAATCATTATAGGTAGAACATAGAAAATTAGAACATACTACGTTTAAATGTAAAGTAAGATCATAAAGGCTCTCGACGAAACGAATCCCCACCTGGGTGGATAAACTAACACTTGTTACAAACGTCAACTCATTTTCAAGGTTTTCTATTGGAGCATCACATGGCAAATTCCTAGATACTTTAAAGAGCACTTGTCTAAAAATCGAAGGGCATTACGAGTCTTATTATTAGGGTTTGTTAATAAATTAAGGTAAATAATATAATTATATCTAATTAATATAAAAGTACACACAGCAGTGTATTAAAAAACCTGACAGAAATATTTGAGTATTTTTAAGGATTTAAGTTAAGAGTTTTAATTAGAGGAAATACATTTACTATAAGTTACATTGATCATTCGGTCCGCTCTGAAAAATATTTCCACTATCCTATGGTCAGGTCTGGATTTACTCCATTTACAGCGCATAACAATATTACTCGTACATAATATAGGTAATTTACTGATTTACAACAAAAAGTACGAAGGAAATAGTTTTTATAATTTTAACTTATTTCATTTTACTGTAGGTTTAGTTTTGTGCTTTATTCTAAAACGAACTTACAAATTATAATTAGAGAAAACACAAGAATTAAAGAACATTTATAAAGGGGGACATTCCTTTATTTTTTTTGTGGCAGTTAATTTTAATTGCTATTTATTCGTCTAGATTGTACTAAACACATTTAAGCTTTTCTGTATTTTCTTAACATTATTAACAAGCCTAATAACACACCTCGCATTAGAGCAGAGCAATACATCTCATTAAGTGAAGACGCTTGTATTGTAAACAATAGACACACCAGAAAATTCTAGAAAACAATTACAATCCGCAATAATAAACGATTTGGAATTGACTGTTCACAATTTCTTTTTCTAACGTAAATTGTATATCCAAGAATGAATTTAGTTAGGTTTTAATTTTTTATCTCTGTTTCGCTTAGATTTGGGTGAAACATCAAGAAAATAAGAGAAATATCTCTTTGCTCTTTTATAAATGAGTGTATTTGATAAATAATTCTATCTAGACAAATAGCCACTGTTTAACCCTTAGGAGAACTGGAGCATTGTATTATGGCCTGTCGAGGAACTAAACACTGTAGTTATAGCTAAGAATTTCATTGTATTATACTATATAGATTGTGTGATCACAATGACCTGAGCTAATGCTGACATTATCTAGAAACCTGAGTTTTAATTAATGCCACTCCGTGGAGTATGACGTAAACTGACTACGTAATCCAGCCTCAGCCTGTCACGGTGAACAGACGTTTAAACCTCGCGTGGAATTT